ATAATACCTTGATATAGATATATGACAGAATGTGATCCACCGCCGCTTTACTGTGGAACATCCCCCCCCGACCCCCCCCCCCCCCCCCCCTGCTGGACCTCCCCCCCCCCTTCCCCCCCGGCAAACCCCCCCGCCCCCCCCGAACCCCCCCCACCTCCCCCTCGAAAGCCGGGGGTGTCACTACCGGTTCGAACCCCCCCCCTCGAAAACCGGAGGGGGGTCACTACCGGTTCGAACCCCCCCCCCCCCTCACCGCCAGCTAACGACTCCCGGTCCCTACCACCGTCCGCACCACATCCCCCACTGTTGTTCCCAGCACCACTGTCCTCACCACCACTGTCCCCACTGGTTCCACCACCGTCCCCACTGTCCCCACCAGTGCCCCCACCACTGTCGCACTGTCCCCACTGTCCCCACCACTGTTCCCACCACGGTTCCACTCTCCCCACTTTCTCCACGGCCCCAACCACTGCCCGACTATCCCCACTGTTCCCATTGTCCCACTGACTCCTCCGCTGTCCCACTGAGCTGTCCCACTGTTCCCACCACTGTCCCCACCACTGTCCCCACTGTATTTCTGTCCCATTGTCCCACCGCCGTCCTCACCACCGCTTGCACCACTGTCCCCACCACCACTGTACCCTCCACTGTCCCACTGTTTCCACCACATTCCCACTGTCCCCACACCACTGTCCCCACCACCACGGTCCCCACCACTGTGCCACTGTCGCCACTGTTCCCACCATTGTCCTCACCACTGTCCCCACCACTACCGCCCCCACCACTGCCCCACTGTCCCCACCACTGTCCCGCTGTCCCCTCACCAATGTCCCCACCACCACCGTCCCCACCACCAGTGTCCGCACCCCCCCTGGTTTTCGAAGGGGGGGGGGCTTCGAACATGTAGTGACCCCCCCCATTTTCGAAGGGGGGGCTCGAACCGGTAGTGACCCCCCCCTTTTTCATGATGGACGGGGGGGAGGGGTTCGAACCGGTAGTGATCCCCCTCTGGTTTTCCGGAAGGGGGGGGGGGAGGTTCGAACCGGTAGTGCCCCCCCCCGGTTTTCCGCCAGCAGCGGTAAAACGCGCTCATTCAAATATATACACACATTAGAACTAACCCGCACAGGCAAGCTTCTCAGGGGACGACTTCGGATGGAGAAGCATCGGAGATCTCGGGGAGCCAGCAAATGTGAAAGACGAATCGGGGGCCGCGGCCGTTCCAAAGCGCTCAGGGGCGCTCTCAGAACACCCCGATCGCAATGGAACGGCATAATATCACCCTAGGCCGAGGTCAGAAAGTGGCACCGCATCGCCGATTCATTAGCGATGCATCAACGACGACAGCATGGAAAAAGTATCGTGGCGAAGAACCCAAGCATATGCAGTTGCGGGTAGCGCAATTGATGGTATCGGTTTCGATGGAGCTCCTTTTGGAATCGCGAAACGTGTGAGGGGTGTGCCGACATGGGTACGGTGGTTCCGTGCGAGCGCAGCCAAAGAGGGCTTCGGTGGAGCTCCCTATGGGGCCACGAAGCGCGTGAGGGGTGTGCCGAAATGGGCGCGGTGGTGCCATGCGAGCGCAGCCATTGGGGCGTTTGGTGGAGGTACCTGTGGGGCCACGAAACGTGTGAGAGGTTTGCTGAAATTGGCGCGGTGGTTTCATGCGAACGCAGCCAATGGGGGCTTTGGCGGAGTTCCCTATGGGGCCACGAAGCGTGAGAGGGGCGTGCCGAAATGGGCGCGGTGGTGTCACGCGAGCGCAGCCACTGGGGCCTTCGGTGGATCTACCTATGGGGCCACGAAACGTGTGAGAGGCCTGCTGAGATCGGTGCGGCGGTGTCATGCGAGCGCAGCCACTGGGAGCTTTGGTGGAGCTCCCTACGGGGCCACGAGACGTGTGACGGGAATTCGAAATGGCTGCGGCGGTGTCATGCGAGCGCAGCCACTGGGGCCTGCGATGGAGTTCCCTATGGGGCCACGAAGCGCGCGAGAGGCGCGCCGAAATGGCTGCGGCGGTGTCACGCGAGCGCAGCGACTGGCGCCTTCGGCGGAGCTCCCTATGGTTGAGCGTGTCCTTTGGGGGCAAACTGCGTTGCTCTGTTCAGGCCCAAAACTATGATGAAGGCCTGATTCATGTCTGCGCTGGAACTCTGACTCACGTCTGGTCGTCAGCGCGAACTCCGATTTAGGCATGGCTGAAACTCTGATTTAACTTTGGCCCTAAGGCCCAAGTCTAATTTAGGTCTACCTTGGAACTCTAAAATAAGTATGACTATGGTTTGGTTTGGGCCCGCCGAAACCAATGTCGCGGCGTCGCCCAGATCGCTGCCGGGTCGGCCCCGTGCGCATGCGTCCTCAAGAGCAAATACATAAGGAATGCGTAAGCCAAGCGGGAGGTCATGGCTGGGGGCCCAGCCGCCAGCTGCCAAATGCTACGAGCTGGGCCCGCCTGCGCGCGCCGCCCTGCGGCAACGCCGAGGCTAAGGCTTGCGCGTGGGGCGTGGGGCAGCGCCCCCCGCTTGCGCGGCCCTGCCCAAAACTGCTCAACGGCAGCTGGGGCGAAAAAAAGCCCACCCGTCAGGGCTGCCGGCTGCCGCGCCGCGACAGGATGCGCATCGCGGTGACCGCCCCAATCCCCGCCGCCCGCCCGGGACAGATCGGGGGCAGCACGCGCAGAGAAGCGCTGTACTTTTCGGAAGGCTCGGGGGCGCGGGAGGCGCCCTGGGAGGTGCCCAGAACGAAGGCGGGGACATGGGGCAAGGGTAGGAACGATCGCGAGAACGAAACCGGAGGCGAGGGCAAAAACTGGGGCGGGCGGGGGCGACAGGCGAGAACGACGGCGAGAACGAGGGAGATAAAGAGGGCGGGAACGAGGGCGGGAGCGAGGGCGAGAACGAGGGCGAGAACGAGGGCGGGAACGATGGCGGGAACGAGGGCGGGAGCGAGGGCGGGAACACGGGGGAGAACAAGGGCGAGAGCGACGGCGGGAACGACGGCGGGAGCGACGGCGGGAGCGAAGGCGAAAACGAGGGAGAGAACGAAGGCGAAAACGAGGGCGGGAACGATGGCAGGAACGAAGGCGATAACGAGGGCGGTAACGAAGGCGGGAACGAAGGCGGGAACGAGGGCGAGAAGAGGGCGAAAACGAGGGCGAGAACGAGGGCGGGAACGAGGGCGGGAGCGAGGGCGGGAATGAGGGCGGGGGGACGTCTCTTGGCGCCTCCGGGTTCCCTCTGGGCGCTTCGGGAATCCCCCGGGCGCCGGGGAACCTCTGGGGAACCTCCGGGGAACGTCCGGGAAGTCTGTTTGAAGTCTGTTTAAGGTCTGTTTGAAGTGGCGACCGAGGAAGGAGGAAACGGGACTAGTGAGGCCAAAGGGGCATGAAGAGGAGGAGGAGGAGGAGGAGGAGGAGGGAAGGTGGAGGATAAGGGCAGGAATAAGGGGAGGAGGGAGGAGAAAAACTGAGGAGGGGGGGGAGGGGGGAGGGGGGAGGGGGGAAGAGGGACGCGGACGGGGGAGGAGGGAAAGGGAGGGAGAGGGAAGCGGAGGAAGGAGGGAGGGAATAGACGAGGTAAGAAAGAGAGCGAGGGGAAGAGGGAGGATGGGCAAGGAGAGGACAAGCGCACTTGCGCAGCGCGCCCCGCGCCCTCCGCCCGGGACTGCAAGAACTCCGATGGTACTCTGATTCAGCTCTGTTTTGGCTCTGGCCTGAAACTCTTCTCTGGTTTGGCTGAAACTCTGACTTGGCTCTGGCCTGAAACTCTGATGCATCTCTCTGGTTTAGCTAAAACTCTGATTTAGCTCTGGTCTGGAACTCTGATTTAACTCTGATTTAGCTCTGGCTGGGGACAGACCGAATCAGAGTTAAATCAGAGTTCAGACCAGAGTTTAATCAGAGTTTCAAACAAATCAGAGATGAAACAGAGTTCCAGGCCAGAGCTGAATCAGAGTTGAATCGGAGTATTATTAGAGTTTTTGAGTTTAGCTTTTGAGGCTAGTTTGCCTCCAAAACACACTCAACCCTATAGGGCCACGAGATGGGTGCGGTGGTGTCATGCGAGAGCAGCCGCTGGGGCCTTCGGTGGAGCTCCCTATGGGGCCACGAAGCGCGTGGGGGGTGTACCGAAACAGGGGCAGGCTGAGGGCAGATGCAAAGAGGAGGGGGAAGAGGGCGGGGGGAGGTGACGCTGGGCGCTATCTCTACAAAACGAGGACCCGACACCACAGGACGGTTCGGAATTAGGGCTCTGGATGGCGCTGCATCGCAGATGGATCGGCAGCGCGGCGCGATCAACCGACTGCATCTGTTCTGGCCCAATCTGAGCGGCCTGAAAAGCGGAGAAGGACAAGGGAGGATTCGTCGGAAACGCGTCAAATGTTTTGTCTGGCTGTCGGTCTCTGGAAGCCCGCCTCGTGCCCTGGGACCGTCAACATTTGATATAGGATGGCAGGACATCTGCCCAACATGAGCCCATGAGCAGTCCAGGACCAAGAAGGTAGGTAGGCGGAGGGAGGTGGGAGGAGGGAGAAAGATTGAGCTGGCACGTGGAGGCGGAGGCAGAGGGCGAAGCGGAGCTGGAGGAGGCGGAGGGGGAGGAAGACGGAGAGGAGGGTAAAAGGACATATGGAGGGGAAGTAGGACTGGCATCGGGGGCGGGAAGGGGAGAGAGGGGGGGATGAGGGTGGGGTAGCCGGGAGGGGAGGAGGGAGGGGGGGAATGTGCAGGCGGAAAGGGGAGAGGGAGAGGGCTGGCTGGTTGAAAGGGAAGGGGGGAGGGTGGAAGGGGGAGGGGCGAGGAAGGGAGGGTGATGGGGTGAAGGGGAGCAGGAGGAGGAGGAGGGAGGAGGAGGAGGAGGAGGAGAAGGAGGAGGAAGGAGGAGGAGGAGGAGGAGGAGGAGCAGAAGGAGGAGGAGATGGGGGAGGAGGAGGAGGACGACAAAGACCACAAGGCGACGACCACGGCGAAGGCCCACATCACAGGCGCACGCCCGGGGCCTCTACGGCAGCCCGGGGTGCGCGCCCGCCTCGGCGAGCGGACTGCCCGCGCCGATGCTGGCGGGCTCCTCGGGCCCCCCCGCCGTCTTGGACGCAGTGGAAGCTCACAAGGCGAACACGCCAAAGGCTAGGGCGACGAAATCTGTACATATCCACTGCTCCCAGGCCAGGCCCATCCTCAACCCCGCAGCGGTGTATACGCCACGCCCTCCTGGCTTGGCCAGGAGGGCGCATACACAGCTCCTGGGTTCAAGATGGGCATGGTCAGGGAGCAGTGGATATGTATAGATTTCGTCGCCCGAAAGGCATCAGTTTTCCTAGAGGAAATCGACGATGTCTGCTTATTGGGGCTCTCTCGGGGTGCCTCTCGGGGCGTCTTCGGGGCCTTTGGGGGCCGTCTTGGCGTCACGGGAGTCGTCTTTAAAGGCATCCGAAGCCATCATTTGGACGCCCGAAATGGGTACGGAAAGGATGGGTGCAATGCCCAACAACAAGTGTTGTCTCGAACCAACAGCGGCCGCTGTTGGGCAGGCGGCCTTCCTCTGGACGCCCGAAATGGGTGCGGAAAGAATGGGCACAATGCCCAACAACAAATGTTGTCTCAAACCATCAGCGGCCGCTGTTGGGCAGGCGGCCCTCTTTTGGACGCCCAAAATGAATACGGAAAGAATGGACACAATGCCCAACGACAAATGTTGTCTCAAACCAACAGCGGCCGCTGTTGGGCAGGCGGCCTTCTTTTGGACGCCCGAAATGGGTACGGAAAGAATGGGCACAATGCCCAACAACAAATGTTGGCTCGAAGCAACAGCGGCCGCTGTGGGCAGGCGGCCTTCTGTCTAAGATGGGCACAGGCCGCGACGGCGCGGACAGCGAGTCCTGTTCAAAATGAACAGGAACTGCTGTTGGGCATTGTACCCATTCTTTCCGTACCCATTTCGTTCGTGCCGAGCGGTCATCATATCATGGTTGTTCACTCCCCTGGCCCGGCTCCTCATTTTTCTCGTAACCATCATCAGCACCGTCGTCGTCGTCATCCCCGTCGTCATCGTCCTGGACTTCCTCTTCCTCATGATCATCGTCAGCGTCGGCATCAGCAGCAGCACCAGCATCAGCATCAGAGTCGTCACCATCATCAGCAGCATTATTACCAATATCATAGCTACCACCATCAGCATCCTTATCAACATCATCCTCATCAACATCATCGTCCTCATCATCATCATCACCATCCTGTTCAGATTCATCATCACCATCATCATCAGCATCATCATCATCATAACCAGAATAATCAGCAATGTCATCGTCATCATCATCATCATCATCATCATCATCATCATCATCATCATCGTAATCGGCATCATCAGCATCATCATCATCGTCATCATCATCCCCTCACAGCTCATCAGCATCATCATCCTCACTCATCCTCATCCTGATCATCATCCACATCATCACCTTCATCATCATCAGCATCATCATCACAACCATTACCAGGATCGTCGTCGTCATCGTCATGGTCATGATCCTGGTCGCAATACTCTGCATTGGCACCATCGGTAAGGTCATCGTTATCGTCCTCGATCTCAGTATTTCACCATCATCACCATCATCACCATCACCACCATCACCACCATCATCACCACCATCATCACCATCACCACCATTTCGATCTATAGTCAGCACCATCACCACAACAAGCATCGCCACCACCACCACCGTCAACAAAGCCACGGCCTGGCCAAAGGCACCATCAAGCTCCGGCACAAAAGAAGCAATCAGCCGCGCTGCTAGGCAGCTTCGAGCGCAGCGCGGCTGCGCGGGAGCACTCCACCCCCTCGTCATCCTGTTGTGGTATGGTGGTCGGAGTCTCCCCCTATTGTGGTATGGTGGTCGGAATTTCTTGGACGTCTGACCTGATGTGTCAGAGATACCGTACGTGGCCCTGCTTTACTTATGCCGGGCGAGCTCATCGAGCTATTCTCCCTTATTTGAGGTCAGGCAGCCCCTGGCCATAGTCATTACACCCCTTCGTCCTCCTCCCTCGCCTCCCCCCATCCTACTCCCCATCGTACTCCTCCCCTTCCTCTTCGTCCTCCTTCCCCTTCTCCCCTCATCCTTCTCATCCCCCCTCCCCTTCTTTCCCCTCTCCCCCTCCTCCATTCCTGAAAACCTAAACAAACCAAGGGGATCGATCCAGGATTCTTCCCCTAGGGAGGAAAGATCCAGGCTTGGTCAGTTGCTTCTTCCCCAAGGGGAGAGAATCCATGACCAGGCCCAGTGGCACCGCCCCAATCCTGGTTTGGTCGTGGCTTCCTGCCCCCCACCTCCCTCCCCCGTATCTCGGGGGCGCTCAAGCAAGGGCCCCCACTTCGCGCTTCGCGCTGCGCGAAGCGCGAAGTGCGGATAACTTCGCGCTCTCGCGCCGCCTCCCAGGGGAGAAGAGGAGGACGAGGAGGAATCGGAGCCGAACCGCGAAGCGCGAAGCGCGAACAACTTCGCGCCCTCGAGGGCGCCCGTGTCAAGAGGGTGGCGTCCAAGAGGGGGGTTCGCCAATCGTGGCCCGAGGCACGTGCGCGGCCCGGGGGGGGGGCCAGGGGCCAGGGGGCGTGCAAAAACGTAGAGAAGCGCCATGAACTCTGGGAAGACCCCATGGCCCCAGACATGAGGTCCACCCCCTCTGCAGTCGTAAGTCGGGCGTGTCCCGCTACAGGGGGATTTTTTGGGCGAGATACTCCAAAACATGCCCCCCGAATGGGCAAAAATAGCCACCAAATCGTCCCCTAACTATTTTTTGGCTACTTTTGAATATTCCCCCCCCCTCCTGGCCGCTCCCCCGACTCCGCGGACGGCCGTGGCCGAAGCATGATCACCCCCCTCTTGGCCGCTCCCCCGACTCCGCGGACGGACGTGGCCGAAGTGTGAGCCCCGAGCCCCAGCCTTACCATAACGAGCGAGCAAAGGCGCCGAACCGAAGAACCTTCGAGGGCACCCTCCCCCAGGATGCACGAGAGCGTCCAACAGGCACGAAGAGCATTGGGGCACCCTCCCCAAACCGACCTCGATCTCGTGCCTTGGCCCGGCTGTACCCCACCCCCCGCCCCAACTCCTCGCTGGGCGAGAGCTCGACCCAGGCGCCGCCGGGAGCGTCGCCGACGGGGGCGGTGGCCGCCGCGCACACCTCGGCGGCCGCCGGGCGTCTCGGCAGGCGAGGGCGCGGGATCAGGCGAGGCGCAGCGTGCTGCACCCCGTCCTGCGGACCACCCGGGTACGGCAGGTTTGCGTCGCGGTGACGTCGGCGCTGGTCGCTGACACCGCGCGGATCGTTCCACCTTGAGCCGTCGGCGGCTTTTCGATCGCCAGATCGTTCCATGTTGGCCGATTCTGAACCGCTGGCGGCGTGCAGCCTTGAACGCCCGCTGCCGCCGTCGCGTCACCGTGGCGCGAAACTGCCGCAACGGAACAACCAGTTTATGTTTTGTTGCGAATCACCTGGGTAAGAAGACGGATCCAGCGCGGCCCCAAACTGAGAGAGGGCTCGCCCAGAAAGCACGAGTGGGTACCAAGACAAAAGAAAACTACGTGATACCCGAAGGGAAGACTACGCGATGCCCAAGGAACCAAAAAAACAGGACCAAGGAACCGAGGACCATTAACAAGAAGAACCCAAATAACCAAGACCAAAGACTCCAGGAACCAGGACCAAGGAACCCTACAAAAACAAGGCAAAGGAACCACGGAACCAAGCCAAGACCAAGGAACAAAGTAACTAAGACCAAGGAGTCAAGGGGCCAATACAAAAGAACCAATGAACCGAGACCACCAAAAACCAGGAACTAAAACCGAGGAACAAGGGCAAGGCTGCGGAAAGAAACAGAACCAGGGACCCCCCTTTGAGGAAACAAAACCACGGAGCCGGGAAACCCTGGGAAACCCGAGGAATATGCCTTGTAAAAAAACACAGCCAAGGAAGCACAGGAAAACCCGTTGGCCCTGTGTAGTGACACAGGCACAGGGGGCCCACGGAGCCCGGCGACGACTACGTCCAACACCCATTCGTTCGTTCAGAAACAAATGAAAAACCGTCAGGCAAAGCCAAATTTGCCACAAATGGCGGCGCAACACATTCAACAACCAACAACGGCAAGGCCAAGGAGGTACCCAGATGCCCTGCCACCGCACGCTAGGAGAAGCACATCAATAGGCAGTGCCTTTGAAGTTATCCACAGAACACATGCGCTCTGGGGAATCCAGTTCCTCCTGTAACCGTTGCGGGGATCGTAGAAGCCCTAAACACAATCTACTGGGGACTGTAGGAGCCGCGAGTAGAACCTAATTGGGACTGCGGGGGCCCTGCATAGAGCCTACTAGGGACTGTAGGACGCCTGTATAAATCCTCATGGGACTGCGGTAGCCATGAATACAATATACTAGGGGCAACAAGCGCCCTCCCTGTGTTACACCGGAGAAAACCCAATCCAATCTTCTTTACACGTCGCCAGTACTTAACGCCAGACCGCCGAGGAGACTTTCTGGACGACTGCTGCGAAGGAAATGTAGCTCTCTGTTCGTTTCTCTTTCTCTCTTTCTCCCTCTCTCTCTCTCTCTCGCCCTTTCACTCTCTACGATATCCCCACCCATCCACTAAATACGAATGTATCTACAATACCAAGTATGCACACATATTATCCGATATACCCTACTATCAAATATGTGCTGTATCATGATGGCCGTGGTCGCATGCCCCATCTCTCTCCCTCTCTCTCGCTCTCGCTCTGTCTCTCTCTCTCTCTGTCGCTCCCTCTGCCTTTATCTCTCTGTCTCTCTCTCTCTCTCTCTCTCTCCCCCTTCTCTCCATATACACAAATATCCATACAATACGCGCGCACGTCGCCGACTTTGTGGCCAAAAACGCAGCTGGCAACTGCTCCCGACTTGGGAGTGCATCCCGCAATGTGTCGCCGAACATAGTCTGGAAGAGGAGGTGCTCGGCCATCGGCAGAAGAATTCTAGCCCTCCCCGAAGACATCTGAACACGGAAGAAGGAGCGAATCAGGCAGGTACGCAGAGCCCTCTGCATTCAAATGGTTATCAAGCCTATAGGCTATCGCGTCGGTGCCAACACTGAATGGGCCGCAACAACCTCTTGTGCAGAACAGCGGAGCAATCTCGTATAGTAACCAGTCGGACCCCGACTGCGCATTTCTCACAGCCTTGGCAAGCGAGGAATTTCCCTCGCTCTCACTGTCAGGGAAACACTGTTCTCGGATCCCATTGCTTGACGATCCTACTGCCATGCGTTTGTGAGGATCTCCGCCACCGTGCTCCCAAGCACGTTGAGGCGTGGACGAATACCAAGGGCAATCAGGGGTGCGTTATCATATAAGAAGGAGCCGCCCTCCCTTACTAGCAGACTCTTGTATGCATCCCCTCCCACTCACCAAAGCCACTTCCCTCGTGCCCGCTCGAGGATACCGCACTTCCAGCATGGCAACTCATGCCTGCTCCCCCTTCCACGCGTGCCCGCTCGAGCATGGTGCGCTTCCCGCATGGCAGCTGATGCCTGAACCCCCCTTCCACGCGTACCCGCTCGAGGATGGTCACTTCCCGCATGGCAGCTAGTGCATGAACCCCCCTTCCACGCGCGCCCGCTCAATGATGGAGCGCCAGTGCGCACATACTCCATCTACTGCTGGGGCGCCAATACGCACATACTTCGCTCTTTCTGTCCAGCATGGCCTATACGCGTTTGACGGGAACTCCAGTGGAAAAACTCGCAAAAAGAATTCACCCGTGGATATGTTCGGGCTCATCCAGTTCAGAGTCCGTGGGGGGAGAGAGGCCTGTTTTGAGCACGCCCGACCGACGTCCTGAAAAGAGTGCTCGTCTCACCAGTCCGTTGCACGCGATGGACGATGACGTGGAGGGAGCGGGGATGGGCGTTGCGCTCGCGGGGCGGGTAGGAATCGAGGGCGAGACGGGAAGGCAGGAAGGCATCACGATGGAGTCGATGACGCTGCTGTTGAAACAGCACCTTCGCCCAATTCAGGCGGACATCGAGGCATCGAGGCTATCAAGGCGCACGGCATCTCCAGGCAGGACATCGAGAACGCGGTGAAGCTGGTGAGGGAAGCGGTCCAGGACCTGTCTGCCAGGGTCGTCGCTTTGGAGCAGAGGGATGGTTCATGGTTCATGAACCCCTTCGCAGAGGAGTTCTTCCTATGAGAAGATGGCCGACCTTGAAAAGAAGCTCGCAAACCTTGGGCCACAATCAAGCGGAGCAGCCACAATCGCGGTCATTTGGGGGCTGAAGTGGGCAGTCTCGACAGATGACGCAGAAGATCGAGTGGCACGGCAGCCCAAGCACATCGAGGCGCCAGCGCCGCTCGAGACACTCGTCAAGGGCGACTTCAATTGGCAAATTGTTCGCCAGGTTTGCATCCCAAGCTCAGCGCGATCCGTTGTGTCCAAAATGCGACGTGCAAAATTTGCAAAATTTGAGTGGCAGAGGGAGACGGCGTGGGCTGAGCCGGACTTGCCGCTGAAGGTACGCATCCCTAACTCGATAATCTTTGCTGTGAAGCGCTACCTTGCCAAATGGTACAACAAGTTTGCTCTTTGGGCGGATCCTGAGACGAACGCGTTGAAACTGGCCGGCGGCCTCGTGATGAAGGTGAATAGCGAGAACGACGACATCCTCATCTGTTTCGATCTAGCCTGGGAGTAGCACTTCCAGGAAGCAGAATGGACGGACTTGGTGAAATAGCTCACGGAAAAGTTCAATCGGGGTATCGGCAAGGGAATGGGCAAAGGAAAGCTCGGGCATTATGGGGCCACCCCGCACGGCCACTCTTTTCACCCCTGGTCCTGCACACAATCCCACCAGCTCACTGGGTGTCGGTGGTTTAGGGCGTTTCCTCTTCCACCCCTCCCGCTTCCCCTTCGGGTAGGGGTTTATCACTGTTCCCTATTAGTAAACACCACCTCCCCCAGGCGACCGGGGGCCAACCAGGGTCCATGACACCCCCCCCCCCCAGCATCCCTTGTAAAAAACAATACAAAACACACTCTGCCTCCAAATTCGGAACATGCGCAGCCAACCCGATGCGGCCCCCCCCACACCATCCCTGTCAAAAAAACAATACAGAGTATACTTGGCGGCGGCGGCTGCGGCGGCTGCGGCGGCGGTGGCGTCGGCTGCGGCGGCTGCGGCGGCGGCGGCGGTGGCGGTGGCGGTGGCGGTGGAGGCAGCGGCTGCGGCGGCGGCGGCGGTTTGGCAGCGGGGGGCGGCGGCGGCGGCGGCGGCGGCGGCGGCGGCGGCGGCGGCGGCGGCGGCGGCGGCGGCGGCGGCGGCGGCGGCGGCGGCGGCGGCGGCGGCGGCGGCGCGGCGGCGGCGGGCGGCGGCGGCGGGAGGCGGCGGCGACGGCGGCGGCGGCGGCGGCGGCGGCGGCGGATTGGCCCCCAGTAGCTGCCCATCCAAAGACGACTGCTGAATATGCTGAGGCTCGGGCCAGACTCGGGTGCTACGTATGTGTTGGGAGGGCGGGTGGGAGTGAGCGAGACGGCCTGCGGGCGGGGAGGGGGTCTTGATCCCTCCCCCTACCCCCTACCCTGGACCTGGACGGGGGGGGCCGCGGATCTAGAGCGTCCAAGATGGCCCAAGATGGCTCCATGAGGGCCTCAGAGCAGCCCAAGATAGCGTCGAAGATGGCTCAAGATAGCGCGAGATGCCTCGATACAGCTCCGAAGATGCTCCAAGACGCTCCAAGGCCGCTCCAAGACGGGTCGAAGTGGCCAAAAGAGCTCCCCAGTGACGCCCCGACCAGGCCAAAATGCTTCAAAACCAGAGGGGAAATCAATGTTTTTGGCGTTATCGCTTTTGCGCTTCCGATGCCCATCCGAGGCCTCAACATCGCTCCAAGATGGCCCAACAGGGGTCCAATAAGGAACCAAGACAGCCCCAAGACGGTCCCAAGAGCGCTCAAGAGCGCTCCAAGAACGCTCCAAGATGGGTCCAGGAGGCGATGTTGGGTGCTCCTGAGGGGGGGGCGTAACTGAGGATTCCCCTTCGTTGACCGATCTCCTCCAAGATGGCCCCAAGCAGCGCCCAGGAGGCCCCAAGAGGTCCCAAGATGGCCCCAAAATGGCCCCAAGAGGCCCCCAAGAGGCCCCCAAGAAGAC